CATCTAGAGATGAAATATATTATGTTAATTTATAAATTTAACAGTTAGTATGTACACATGGTGTCCTTTCTAGATGGACCGGCTGAATTTCTCTGGAACCAATGACGCTATCAAAAAAAAAGTTTTTAATATTTTTTAGTCTACTTTCATTTTTTTAAAAAGAAAAATTAAACATGGTACCTCAGGCCCAGTTTAACTTCAAAATTTCAAATACGACCGTATAGGTCTCACCGGCAAAGAATTGTGTGCGGCGCATCCATCAACTTTTTGTCATAACTGTCATTTTTTAATTATTAATTTCTAAAAATTTAAATTAAAAAATTTAAAAACCAATTGCATAATTTTTTTAGGGTAAAAAACATTTTAAAATGATGTGTCAGAATGTATAGGGCGTAATTGAAATTTTGAGGTTGAACTGGGCCTGAGGCACACTGTATTTTTCTCCAAAAAAGATAAAAATTTGAAACTGAACTAAAAAATATTAAACACTTTTTTTAATACCTTCATTGGTTCAACAGAAATTCAGCCGGGCCGTCTAAGAAGACATTCTTCACACATTCATGTATACAACAAAAAATGTGTACGATTTTCTGCGAAAACCAGCTTGATGTGGGAGAGATAGAAAGAGAGTTATAGAGACGGTGATAGATAAAGATAGGGATAGAAAAAGATAGATAGAGAAAGATAGATACAGATATATCAGATATATATATATATATATATATATATATATAGAGAGAGAGAGAGAGAGAGAGAGAGAATTAGTACCATGTTGTACGATAGATATTTATGTAGGTAGACAAATTGGGAGATTGTTGGGAGTCAGAGAGAGAGAGAGTGTGTGTGTGTGTGNTTGTTTATGTTGTCCTTTTTTTCGTTTTGAGAACGGGTTAATTATTTTTATTTATAACCCTTTTTTTGAAGGTGGTGAAACAAATGTTTACATCTAGCAAACCTATAAATAATAAGAATGAGTATATTGATAATCTATATCAGCCAATATTTTATCGTCAGAGATTAACAGTGTATGACCTCTTCAAAATTTCAAATCCGACCCTATAAAGCATTGCATGCGTGGCATCCATAAACTTTTGCCATAACTTTGTCAATTTATTACCAATTTAAAATCCAATTGCACAATTGTTTTCAGCGTAAAAATTTCTTATCAAAAAAAGGTAAAAATTTGAAACTAGACTAAAAATATTAAATACTTTTTTTTTCTTTATAGCGTCATTGGTCTAACAGAAATTCAGCCGGGCCATCTAAAAAGGATACCCTGTACACATTCACATATAACACAAAGAATGTGTACTCTTTTCTGCAAACACTATATATATATATATATAAGTTAGTTAGTTAGTTAGTTAGTTTGTTTGTTTGTGTGTGTGTGTGGGGGGGGGAGGGGTGTGTGAGAGAGTGAGGGAGAGAGAGAGTATTAGCATAGTGTTCTTTTCTTTGTTTGTATTGACTTTTTTGGGAACGGGTTAATTATTTTTGTTTATTTTATTTATTTACTATTTTTATTTATTATCCTTTTTTTGGAGGTGGTGAAAGAAATGTTTATATCTAAAAAAGCGTACAAATAATAAGAATGAGTATATTGATAATTTTATCATCTCATTTTATATCATCATCAACGACCAGAGTACGTTTTAAATAAAGAATCAAAGATAAAAATTTTCATTCAAGTTTGCAGTTGCACAGACGGTTTTTCACCTCAACACTTCTCCAGTCCATGCATGAAAAAAAAAAAATTCTCCATTCCTTTCTGGGGTAGGGTTCCCAGCCGAATATACGCCCACTTTCTGCCACCCCTGGAGAGCAGTGTTTAATTCTACAAGATACTAAATTAACATTAGCTTCTGTAAAAAGATTTTTGCATACCATCACTTAGATCTAGTATTACTTAACGAACAACAGGATAAAAGAAATAGCCAATCAGCCTTTGGTCAAATACTAAGCATTGTAAACTTCGTACATTACAATATCTTTCCTTAAATGGATTATGTCTTAACTCTATTTTAATATTAAAAATAATATAACTTGAATAAAACCCAGAATTGCTTTAAATGTAAAAATGACAGTTGTTGCATAATTAGGGTAGGCAAAAGTGTGACAATATTCTCTGATCAAACATACAGTTTATGCAAATATATTAACCGATTATTGGAAAAAAGTGAATTTATACAATGTAAAATATATTTTTTATATTCAATCAAAATATTTCTACCTACTCAAAGTGTTTGTCTTTTGTGTAATTGTACCATTCTTGCGTGTCGTGTTGAAACTTTTTTCCACATCCTACATGTATTCGTTAAATTTAAACAATGTTTATAAATCCCAGGCGCTGAAGATGATCTCAATAAAGATCGAAACGATGGTACGATAAAGAAAATGTTTTTCTGAAACCTACATCACACCAGACCGGATCTCACGATTTCTGAAAAATTATCGACTAACGGTCACTACTCACCACACATTACATCAAATGTTGACGCTACTATCTTTAGTACCTTATTGGTGATTAATAAGCTTTTAGTCTGTGCAAAATCAGAAGGGTTTCTTCTTTTCGGATGGGTCTGGAAGTGGATTCCCTTTTTTTACATATTACTGCAAGCTCAACTGTATCCAGGGCAGGCACCCATTTTGCGCTTCACAAACCTGCAAAGAGACCCCAAAGCAAAGCCTAACATTTGAACTTGTTTCTCTTGCCATTTTGTCTGTAGTTTATTGGGTCTTCTGTTAGAACCATTAAGCAGTATTTATTTTCAAAATGAACAGTTTATTATTCTGCTGCTTTAGGATTTATTTATTAAGCTATTGGTTTTGTTGTTGTGATTGCAGAGAGGTTTCGTATATTTCAGTTAAAAATAATAAATAGTTTAAACAAAGTGAACAAATTAATTAATTTAAAAAAAATAAATAAAACAACAACAGCATAATGATCCAGAATAGTGAACTTTAAATTGGGTATCTACGAAATCATATATTTTTAGAGATATTTAATTTATGTTAGTGTGCGAAGATATTCGGCTATAGTGATATAGATTTTGCCCGCAGGAAGATTGGTCGGAAAAAGGTCTCAGGCAGACAGAAAAACCAAAAATCCGGTTTATTTCTTCTCTTTTATCCAGCTGGGATGGCGACAAAGGCTTGGAAGATAACACTGTCGAAAGCCACCCTCCACTCGAACTCAATTAAATTTCCCAGGCTTTATGAAGTCTGTGATGGTTTTTTTTCCTCAGCACAGGGGAAAATTAAACGGGGAATCGCCATAATCGAACGCAGCCAACGACAATCTTTTACGTTACAAGTGACAAATAAATATCGGTCCAAATGTTTTGTTTTCGAAGTGCTTTTGGCCAATATGCTGAATCAGATATGACGGTCGAAAGAACGAAAGTGAAAAGCCTACGAGTTTTAATCAATCTTTTGTTGATGTAACGAACAACATTGTCAATGAAACGTAAATCAGAGAAAAAAGGTTGAAATTGATTTTTTATACAATTGAATACTCTGCTCAGTTTTTATACCTGTACAGTCTTGTCTGACATGATATCAACAACAAAGCATTTAATTACTTTACATGAAAGTTACCAACAAAGGAGCGCCGTTATCCCGCTAACTCTCCCAAATGCCGGATATTCGTGGAAAACCATAAGCTGCGCTGGATAATATAGTATCAGTTCTAACTGTACTGTATTGATTATTTCAAATGTTTTCAGTGGAGTTTTGGAAAAGTAGTGGAAGGATGTATTTTAGGAAGATTTTCTTCATATCAGGTTTTCCCTTTGGTGTATAGTTTCGTTGTATTTACACGTCCCACTTCTCACTTAACTAAATTTTAAACAATTATTAATTAGAGGATTATACAACTTTGAAGTTTTAGAAATCATCAGATGGACATCGGGATGTAGAAAGCAGTCGAAGGAAATCCAGTGAGACCTGACTGGTCATAAGCGTTGAAGATCCATTTTTGGACTTTCCGTTTTGGACTTTCACCCCAAAGGGTTCACCCTCTGGGTCGATACATCAGGGGTGTTCTTCTGCAGTGGCTGGGTCGCTAGTAAACCCCCCTTCCAAGACAGATGCCCATGAAATCGTCGCTTCCCGACCAATGGGGTTAGGTTCCAACAGTGGCTGTCGACAGCTATGTTATTTCAGCCCCCAACGCATGCAAAATATAATCAGGCCTAGAACTAACTTCTGCACTGCAGTTGCACAAATATAAGTATGTTCCTACGATGCACTCATTCTAATTCGTCGGTGGAGTACTCGATATTAATCCATCGACCTACACACAATATCAATAATCTAAATTAGGGTCGATGAGGTACTTTTAAAAATATTCCGCCATCGGCCCTTGACACACACTGCTGAAGGGGCAATATTGTCGGTATATTTCACCACCAGCCTCCACCACTCACAATAATAAATACACGCACTCAAACAAAACATATAAGACCCGAGAACCCTTCTTTACTCCAATAGCATGCCCATGCACTGTCTGTAAGGAGCCAACAAGCTTCTATTATGTGGGACACATTGAACAAACTTTCTCCGTATAAGAGACATTGGCCTAGAAGCAGGTGCCCGTGTGTCAATCGCGTATGGCTTATTCTTAATCGGGTTAGGACGATTCCTCGTTTCCGGCTCAGGTTCTGGTGGGCCATCTACAGGCAAGAACATCTTAAACAACCCTTCCCTCTGACTCAGGCATCATTCTTTTATCATGTTCTTTACCGCTTAACTTCGCGATGGTCCGGTCGGGAGGATCAACCACCGTTTTTCCGAGGCGCTCCAGCTCGGTGTATTTTTTCTAGAAAAATCCATTAAATGTTGATGTTTCGGATTTTCTGTGCCCCTTATTTATGCATTCTTCAACTTATTTATTTGCGTATAGAGTATGTAGTATAGGTTGTTATATACTTTCTAGGACTAACAACAATGTTTTTGCTTTGTTCATCTAGGTGTTTTATATTTTGTTTTCTCTGTTTCAGTTATAAAATGGAAATGGGCTGAAATTACGATGGGAGTGGGTGAGGTTGGTATGAACTCAACCGCCTGCTCCGCTTTGTTGGAGTCAGTAGAGTGGGAAGATCCGACGGCCATCTGCCTCCTGACCCTTCTGGGCGTCGTGGACCTGATGGTCATAGTCGGCAACTGCCTTGTCATCGCTGCTGTTTTTATATCCTCCAAGCTCAGATCCGTGACGAACCTGTTCATCGTGAGCCTCGCAGTCGCGGATCTGCTCGTAGGCCTCACCGTACTGCCGTTCAGCGCTGTCCGGGAAGTTTTCAAGGTAAGCGTCTCGACTTTGAAACGTCATGAAATCAAACACGAAAATTATTCAATTTTAAACAGCTCGGATATATATCGATAAAGCATTGGATTATACAGGAAAGTTTCCCGGTTAAAATGTTTAACGAGAACGTGTTTACACCGGGGAGAGCTATTCTTGGAACTTTGGATCGAACTCCATTCAGTACGTAGTGCCACTCTCGGTATATTTAGATAATAGATTTAGCCAAAATTATTTATCCTATTTTCTTGTTTATTTCTTGTCACAAGTTCACTCTTTTCTTGGCCAAAACATTTGATAAAAAAAGAACTTTTCCCAGCCTTCATTCAGTAGAGTTTTTAAGGTGAAATTAAACATTTATGTATAATGATAATAAAAAAATAAACAAAACGGAAACAACGTAAATAAATGAAAATTAGGTGTTTAACTAGGAATAAAGATTTAGTAAATAATAAATAATCTCTTTTAAAATGAAATTTAATTCTTAACGTTTGTAAACACTTTTGTAGTAACACAATTACTAAACGTAAATTTTAAGCACAGCGCGGTTTCTATTTTAAACCTAAATCTCTTTATGGAATTAATGGCATTTATGTTCATATGAGTTTTTCAAAGTTTTTCCCATTCGATGCGATCCGATTTTCATTTGGCTTTTCGGTGAGTTAAATATAATCAAGTTATTCCTGCTATAATTACTCTCGTATCTATTTTTCACAGATTCCTTTTTTGTATATATACAGATGTTAATTGACAATTCAATTGATTTAAATTAGTACGCCCATGCATATATATAAAAACCACAAATTCACTTTGACGCTTAATCATCCATCGACTTTTTATAACAGTTTGCGATCCACATAATTCAAATGACAGTCATGAAATTTAAACTTTTATCCGTTAATGACGGAATTATTTATTATTGCGTTATGTTTTGAAGTGTGTCCTCTTTGAAATTAATATTCCGCCCTTTTGTCGTGCATGAAAAGAAGGGAAGTACTCTTCAACCGGATTTGCTTATCATACACTGCCATCCAAGCAGCTCTTCCATTCAATACCTTCAATAAGAAGGTCTAAGCACTCTTGTTTACATAATCCGCAATTCAGTATAAAGAATATTGTATATCTTTTCCCAGTAAATATTTCAATCTTAAAAGGCTTTAGTTTCAACAGGCTTTGTTTTTACGTTTAAAGAAACCACTAGAAATATAAAGAACCACATTTATATGAGGTATTTATGCTGAAGATAAAAACTCGTCGTTGTTTTCGTTGACTTGGATTCTCCAAACTCGAAGCATTGGTTTCAGGCTGTGGAGGTGTCGAGAACAGGAGACAGGATCAGTGTTAGAAGAGAGGTGCCGTGACATCGGTGAATACGAGGGTTATGGTAGTTCTCATTTCCATGATGTCCAGCATGTGCTTTACTCATTTTAATGCAACATACTATTGCCTTATGTTCCTCAGCTCCCACAGATTTTGGCTTATTCACTCTATTATGGATTACGCTTCTTGTGAATCGTTGCCGATTTTTTGCCCGACCACAGTAGTTCAAAAACCAGTCCAAGTTTTTGTCAATCGTCAAAAGCTCTGCACTCGGCCCTTAGATGCCCTTCTCAGTTGAATTATTGGTAATGAGATTGTTCCATAACCCGCGTTATCGTCTTCCATATAGCTTCGAAGTCAGAATGAGCTGGATGTAGCGTAATTTGGGTGGAAAATTCAAATCGATTTTCATGACAGGATACAAATCTTTCAAATCTTTGATTCATTCCTTTTTATCTTCTCTTCTTCTTTGATTGATTTACCGGGTAGATTTCAGCAAGTACGACAACAGCGTAGGCTGCGAAAACCTTTGATTATCTTTCTTTGTTAACTTCATTTTTGGACATCCTGTATTTTTAAAAAAAATTTATTTAGTTAATTTAGAATTATTTAATTTACTAAAGGATTAGATTATTGTGAAGGACGACGATTTATCCTTATATTCCTCAGAGATGTGCTGATTAAAAAAATTATGTGTTTTTGTGTCCGGTTTCTATTATTTGGACAAAATACTGCTTATTGGGCGGAAATAAGTGAACAAGGGTGATTAAGGGGTGACGAATATACAAGTTTATTACCTCGCGATCGTCACAAAATTTAAATATAAGAAACATATTTTTAAATTTAGCGATTTAGTGGAAAATTTTTTCCTTAAAAATGCTACTTGGGCGGTAAAAGGTTATCCACCTTTGAAAAGAGTTAGGTTTACACCATCCGAGATGATCACTTAGGGTTGAACGAATATGCTAATGGCGGATTTTTCAATTATGGCGGTTTGAATTTCGTTAAAAATGATCCCTTCATTATCTCCTCATCGCAGGTCGGCAATTCCGTTTATGTATTCCTTTATCCTATTTTCCACTCATCGTCGTTTCAACCCTCTATCTAATCCAACGATAACGACACCCCAGTTAACTGCCCCTGCAGTAGTCCCATAGTTACATTTTATGTCGACCGGCTCGTTCCCTAGCAATTTTTGTGCCTTTTTAGTGTTCGTTTTTTGGAAAAAATAGTTCTACTCACTTACGTTTTAGACTTATTATTATTATTATATAAAAGCATTCCTACGGTTTATGTTGAGAGACGTGTTTCTATCTTCTGCTTTTTTTTAAATTAAATTTATTTATTAAAACTGGTCTTTTTTTTTTTTTTTTTTTTTTTTTTTGTGTGAGAGTCTCTCATGCTAACCACTCGGCTACCGCGGTCCCCTAAAAACTGGTCTTATTAGACCAACTATTAATTTTACAATAATATTATAGAATAAATAAATGTTTACATTCTTATAAACCTATTAGTAAAACAAGATGTACATTTCACTATTCACTATTCATTTTTAACTACACAAGTATGGCTTTGTTCTTTTTAATGTTCTGACCGTGTTTCGGTTATGCAAGAGTTTGGTCGCTTCCACATTCTCGTGCTGGCTGAGGCGAGCCTGGTGTTTGGCGGCGGATCTTTGTATTTCCGCCGTGACCTCAGGGATCTTAAGATTCCTACGTAAGTCCTTATTCCTTATGTACAAAGGTGCATTGACCATGTTACCTAAGATTTTATTTTGGAGGGTTGTATGATTTTGATATTGCTGTGTTTGGTACAACCCCATAGTTGAATACCATATGTCCACACACGCTATATAACTTGTTTCTGTAATAATATTTTATTTTGTATAGCAAGGTTGGCGCCAGGTCCTGTCAACCAGTATAGTTGTCTAACCTAACCTATTTCTGTCCTTTTTTTCTTCACGTATTCTTTCCATCTCAGATTCACAGATATTTAGCTGTGTTGCTGTATGGTATTGTAGTTACGTAGAATGTGAGCGACGGAACATGGTCCTCTTTTTTGTTTGTAAAGATTAGATGAACTGATTTATGCTGATTTAGCTTGATTTTTCATTTTTTGTCCTTTCGTTTATCTTATTATAACCATTTTGGAGGATTTTGGTTGAATGGGTGATAGTCGGTCCTGATACACCGATGGGTCATCTGCAAACGTTGAAATTTTTACTCCATCTATTTTCGGAAAATCACTGGTGTGTAATAAGAAAGAAGTCGACCTAATATGCTACCTTGTGGCTATCCTGCATTTATTGTTTTTAATTTTGAATATTGATCTTCTTGTTTGACTTTAAGCAGTCTGTCAGTTAGGTAGGAACTGATAATATCGACATATTGCTTTGGTAGCATCCCTTTTAGTTTATTGATGGGTCCTTCGTGCCAGACCTTGTCAAAAGTTTGTGAGACATCAAGGAAGATAGGAGAACAAATTTGTTTTCCTTCAAGATATTTTTCTATTACGTCCGTTACTCGGTGAATTTGGTCTATTGTTGAATGTCTTGTTCGGAATCCAAATTGGTGGTGACAGATGATTTTCCTTTTTTCTATTACAATGGGTTTTATTCGTTTTAATAATAAATTTTCGAAGAGTTTAGACACTGTTGGTAGTAGCGATATTGGTCTATATGATTTGATCTCGTTCGCCGGTTTTCCTGTTTTTTTTTTTTTATCATAATGACTTTTGCGAATTTCCAGATGCTGGGAACATATTTCAGTCTGATTGCAGCATTAAATAGGTATGTTAGGTTAACTATACCCTTTTTTGGCAATTGTTTTAGTATTTCTCCAGTGATAAGGTCATATCCTGGAGACTTTTTAGCAGGTAAATTTTTAATTTCTTGTGCTACTTCTTTAGGTGTAACTAGCTTTATATTTTCTTCTTGTGGAGTGGTTGTTACTTCAAGTAAGCTGCCATTGATGTTTTCATTTGGTTTGAAGAATTCAATTTCAACGAGGTAACTAACTTTTTCTCTGCTGTCTCTCGCCCATGTACCATCCTCTTTTTTAATGGAGGAATTTGGGCGATTGGTCTTTTAATTTTTTGTATTGCCTTCCACAGTGAGTAGACAGTGGCTTCTAGATAATTTCTGATTGAGTCGTCATGTAGTTTTTTTAGCTTCCGTTTAAGTTTTTGGGCCATACTATTAAGAATGTTTTTGTCTGCAGGGATTGTTGCCTTCTTCTCCTAGCCTTTCTTTTTCGATTTATTAGTTCTTTAATTTCCTTGGGGTAGTTGGAGCCAATTGTTTTATGCATAGTCAATATCTTCTGCCTGATGGTTATTATTTAATATTCGAACTCCGGATAGCTGACTGAAACGTCTGTGGGTAGAACTTCTTTTCCAAAATGCGAATAGTCACCCCATTTTTTATTCTAAGTGTTCTGGCCTTACAACAAAAAGAATTTCGATACCGAAATTGTTGACATGCAAGCTCGCGTTAAACTATGGTTTACAATGAGTTGATAAAAATGGCAATTTTTTTCTTCAAATTGTGTGAAAGTCTAACACGAATTCTAATTATGTCAAGCTGCAAATTGTAACAATTACTCATTTCGAACTTTCTCATGTCGACGCACGCCGACACGCGTGACACGTAATTACAAGGACTTCTTTATTTCACTTCACGA